AATGTGTCTTGTGTGGATAGGAAGAATCAACATTGTCCAAATGGACATCGTACCCAAAACAATATACAGATTCAATGCAACCCCAATAAAAATCCCAATGACATTCTTCAAAGAAATAGAATGATTACTACTGAAATTCACATGGAACCACAGAAGACCCTAAACTGCCAAAGCTTTCCTCTCAAAAATGGGAAAAAATAGGAATTGTAACCCCATGTTCACTGCTGCTCTATTTACAACAGTCAAACTATAGAAACAATCTAAGTGCCCCAAAACAGATGAGTGGATCAAGATGTGGTACATAAACAAAACAGACTACTACTCAGCAATCAAAAAAGAAACTCATACCATTTGCAGCAACATGGAGGGAGCTGGAAGGGGTTATACTTACCGAAATCAAAAGGAGAGACAAATACAGGATGGTGTCATTTATATGTGTAATATACAGAAAGCAACAGGTAAGATAAAGGTACACTAAATTTTTTTATTTTCTTTTTTTAAATTTTTTAATTTTTTACATCATTGTTCATTTTTTTTTTTTAAAGATTTATTTATTTACACAAGAACCAGGGTATAGGTCAGATGCGCAGAAGGGTGAGAGGATTCACCAGAGACAGAGCGGGGAACAGAACAGGCAGACTGACAAAATACACTGCTGAGGGGAGCAGCATGTGAGACAGGAGACCTCTGCTGTGCCATGTGGGACCCTTGCCGGCCAGCCGGGATCGAACTGGCGCTGCAGAGGCTGCGGGCAGCTTCACAGCGCTGCGCTCAACCGCCTGCGCCACCAGGGAAGGCCTATCATCATTGTTCATTTTTAAACAATATTTACTTCCCCTCACCCCCTCAGGTGTAGTCCCCATAGTTTTCACCAATGCACCCATGCACCATCACCTCAGTCCCCTGTGCTCCTCCCTCCTCCTCTCCTGCAGTATGTCTCTGATTTATGATTGCCCATTTTTGCTTTGTTGTGTTTTGTACTGTTATTTTTACACTGATTTCTTATTTGACTCCCCTATATTCATGCTATAAATGAAACCATCTGATGTTTTTTTTTCTTTCTGGCTTATTTCACTGAGCATAATTCCTTCTAGTTCCATCCATATTGCTACGAATGGCATGAGTATCTTTTTTGATTGCTGAGTAATATTCCATTGTGTATATATGCCACATCTTATTGATCCAGTCATCTATTTTGGGGCATTTGGGTTGTTTCCAGGTTTTACCTATTATAAACAGTGTTGCAATAAACATGGGTGTACAGGTGGTCTTTTGAATCAATGTTTTTGTGTCCTTTGGGTAGACCCCTTGGAGTGGAATTGCCAGGTTGTATGGTCACCTACACTAAAAATTAATCTTAGAAAATGGACATCAGAACCAAAGGGGGAGGGGCGAGAGCGAAGTGGGAAGGGAGCACAAAGGACTATGCATGTTTTGGTGGTGAGAGTGGTGTGGTAACAACAACTGAGGGGGAGATCCTATACTTTTAAAACAATGATATAAACTAATGTTACCTAATTAAAAAAAAAAACAACGTAAGTGTGATTCCTTCACCTATAACTTCGGCACTTTTCAGACCAGTGTTACTGTGCTGGATCTTGGTACAGATTGAGTCTACATGTAGGCCCTTTAAGAGCAGGTTCTTTGTTCCCTGTAGTTTTTCCAGTTCTCCTGGGCATATTCTCCACCAGCCCTCAGTGCCAGGGCTCTAGAGACTCATTTCCATTGCTCAAGATGGAGGAGTCGGGGTTTCTGAGACCTAGCCCTCTCCTCATTTCCGAGTGAAAAGTTCCACACCTTTGAGATTCCTCCAACTGTGAGTCATCACACCTTGGATGGGTTTCCTTCCTTAATGAGAAGCTATGTTTCTCTCTCCTACCTGTTTCAGTGCTGCTTTATTATCCTTTGTTGTGAAAACTCAATTTGGCCAATGTTCAGATTTTCTTCTTGGTAGATTATTCCATATGTAGTTGCATATTTGTTATGTCCACAAAATGGGGATAGTCCAGGTTCTTCCTACACTGCCGTCCTTATGTTTTGAAGTTCCTGTTTTCAGGAGATATGGTAGTACTCTAACCCAGTCAGAACAACTGAAGTAATGGGGAAGTTGAAAACTAAATGCCAGGATGCCAGCTCATGGTCCTTGACATTGACTCCCTTGACAGCATACTCCTGGCAGACCAAACCTCCTTCAATAAGGCTGGTTCCAAGTTATTACCCAATGTGGAAATTAGGCGAAGACTTACTGCTTTCCTGAATTTTGAACTTTCCTGTAATCAGGACCCTGCAGAAAGCCCAGGCTCCTCACTGGCACTGTGCCCAAAAAGCTTAACGACTAACAAGGGCCATTCTTTAAATATCCACCTCTACGAGAAGTTCCACAATTCCTGGTTCAGTGATATAGTAGCATGTATTTGGCTCTGATGCACCACATCCCCCCCTATCCCCAACAACTGTGTGCAGTAGAGTGCCTGGGGCCACTGCACTATAGGTGTGAGCCGAGTTTGACAGTCAACCCCTCACAGAGCAGGTTTGATGCACCAGTGGGGTTCAAATTTTAAACCCGCACCAACGCCAATCAGGTTTGACAACTAAGCCAGCACAGGGAGGCTCTAATAGCCACACCAGTCCCCTGTGCCCCCTCTAGTATTTAGCTGAGCCAGGTCTGCTGGCTGAATGGCACCATCCTTAAAACGTCCTCCCTGCAAAGTGGCACTGCCAGGTGCCCACACAGATAAGTTTGAACCTTAATACCCCTTCTTGAATGGAGGCCATTGGGAGCAAGGGGAGGCGTGAAGGGATCCTGAAAAGCATAAAACCCAGTGCAGCAGACATATTCGAACACTCTCTCCAATGATCTTTTGTTTCTGGCTTCTGAACTCCCACTCATTACTTCTGATCATCAATCACCACTCCTTCCCCCAGCATTGCCTTCTGATCATCACTCTTAACTGGCGCTACTGACAGGTGTCGGTACCAACTTTAAGAGCTGTCTGCCATTACCCGCTCCTGCCTGTGGCACAGCCTCTTAATCACCACTCCTTATTGGTGCTGGACTAGGCCTGCACCACCTCTAGAGCTGTCTCCTATTTCCTATCTCCAGATGGCCCCCAGATTACTGTCGCTGGCTGCTGTGGTGCTATCACAGCAGTATCACCTGTGATCACCTCCAGTTGCCACCACTCCAGGCTCTTATCAGTGATAATGCCACCTTTCATGAGCAGCTTTTGGTTTGGACTATGGACGCTACAGACTATCTGGACTAAAACAGTTACTTGTTACCTTAGCAATTCTTTATTTCCTTCTCTCTCAATTTCCACTGCAAATACACACTGTTGTTACAGTCTGTGTGAGTCATGCCCTGCCACTATAAGCATTTGGGTGAGAACCCATGGATCATGACATTTCCCAGTATAGAGTAAATGATTGTCAGGCTTTTCTGCCCTCTAGGATTGATGATGAATCCCTGCATCCTGAACGCATGCCTGATGGCGGGCACCTGGAGTAGGGTGTGGCCATATGTAGGTGGGCTCACCTGGGCTGAGAGACTGGGCTTGTAAGGGCAGCGTCACAGGGACGCCAGAGGAGCAGAACAACCAGAAGAGAGAAAGAAGCAGAAGAGAGAGAACAAGACCATGAGAGAACGCCAGAGAGCCGAGAAAGAGTAAAGATTGGCTAGGGGCTAGGAGCCCTGCCAGCCTCCTGGCCCCCCCTACCTGCCGTGTACCTGGTAAACTCAATAGAAGCATGAAAATGCCACCGAGGGCTCCAGGACTCCTTCTTCACCCACCTGCTCTGTAAAGGGCAGGAACCTGGACACGATGCAGGTTTTCTGATCCCATGCAGACCGGGTAAAGGAGGAGTCAGAGTCCTCAGTAGTTTTGCAGGTTTTTTATTTGGGGTTCACCAGGTATATGGCAGGCAGGGGTGCTGGGGGGCCGGGAGGCTGGCAGGCCTCCCAGCCCCCAGCAAATCCTCACTATCTGGGCTCTCTGGTGATCTCAGCTTCTCTTCTGCTTCTGCTTCTGCTTTCTCGGCTTCTATTATTGCTGCTGCTTCTGCTGCTGCTGGCGTCCCCCCGTGACGCCGCCCTTAAAAAAGCACAGTCTTAGCTCAGCTGAATCCCATCTACCTATGCCCACACCCTATTCCAGGTGCCCGCCATCAGGCATGCATTCAGGACAAGGATCCATCATCTATCCTGATGGCGGAAGGGCAGAAAAGCCTGACATTTTCTTTACCCTACATGCTCCATCATAGAAAACCTGCTCTATGCCTTCCTGCCCCTACACCCAGGTTTCACACTTACAGACGACAGGATGCCTCACTGATCCAAGTGAAATTCTAGAAGGGAAAGTAACAGTGGGAATAGTACAAATACATGAAAACTAGAAGAGATTGAGGTTGGGGAAGTGGGTAAGAAATTTTAAGTTATTAAAATAGACTTAAGTTTCAGGTGACTGGCTGATCAGCTAGTTATTTCCTGAGTAAAGATTATTTGATGAAATCTCATTTCAGCTCTGTATGTGCTATTAACGCTATACCTCTAAAACACAACACCATAGCAATGTTACTTCAATTTTAATAAAGAGCCATTTGAATGAGGTAACTTTCCCTCCTGTTAGTCCCTCAGGGGCTCTTATCATCCTATTATCAGCTACAGCCATTGTCATTCCATCCTTGGCTTGTATCAAGATGTACCAGACCTGGGCCTCCCTGGTGGCACAGGCAGTTAAGTGCAGCACTGTGAATCTGTCCACAGCCTCTGCAGCACTGGTTCAATTCCGGCCAGCTGGTGAGAATCCCACATGGTGCAGCAGACCTCTCCTGTCTCGCCCGCTGCTCCCCTCAGCAGTGTATTTCGTCAGTCTGCCTGTTCTGCTCCCGGCTCTGTCTCTGGTGAATCCTCTCACCCTCCCACGCATCTGGCCTGTACCCCAGTTCTTGTATAAATAAATCTTTAAAAAATAAAAAGATGCTCCTGACCTGACCTGGTCAAAGAGGCTTCCCAGCTGCAGGCATTCTCCTCATGCAACACCGCAGTATGCCACTTGGATGGACCTTCCCATAGAAGTAAATCTAATAGGAGTACTGAATACTTTAAACTGTTTAAAATTGTTCTTCCTTTTTACCTTCCCAAGTACATGACCTTTACCATAAAATGCCTCAGGGAGATTAGATTTTGTGACAGAAAGAAGGTAGAAAGAATTACCAAGGTAGCAATTAGCTTTGGCAGTCACAATTTAGGCAGCAGGATAATTGCTTTGTGCCCAAGGCTACTGTCTTGAGAGACGGTATTGCTTTGTTTCTCTCTTCAAGTGTCAGGGTCCAAGCCTGAGTCTGCCTTAGACAGCACTTTCTCATGTTGAAAAGATACCTCTGCCTTTATGGGAGCCAAGTGCACTCTATGCCAAAAGAAATGGTGCAGAAGCAAAAGCCAAGTCACCCGCAGCTTTCACAGCTGTAGAAAGTGTAAGAAATGAGGTATTCCTCCAGCAGTTACTCTGTTGTCTACTTTGGACAGCAGTACCCCCACTGAATCCTCAGTTAGGCCACCCTTTCAGGGGATGCTCGGCTAATGTTTTCACAACAGTACCAGGTAATTCCCATGGAGATGTGACCTGCCCTTTCATTTACAACCCACTGCAATACCAGGAGACGTTATGTTAGTAAAAACAGTTTGCCTAAAATTGTCTTTAACAATTTTAAATTGTTAAAATATGAAGTGTGTATGTTACACAACAGTTAACTTAAGCATAAATATGGGTATGCAGGTTTCCCCTGCTATCTAAAAGTAGAATGTTCCTGTGAAGTCTTTCATAAGCTGAAATGGCCTAAAACAAGGAAGCAATTGCCATCAACTTCAGCAGAAAATTTTCTGAGCACACTCAGACCCAAAAAATAACCTACCAAAGCATACCAAATAACACACAAAACTTACATATAGTAAACTAACATATAGTAAACTGACATATAGTAAACTGACATATAGTAAAAGCAGGAATGATATGAAAAATATACATAAAAATATGGCAAATAAACAGCCTGTACAAAGTAGACATAAATATGTACCGTGTAGTTTCACTTACTAGAATTGGTAAAGAGGCGTGCACACTGCAAGCTGAGAGGTGGGGATGGTGATGTGTCAGGCTGAGTTCCCAGAGGCCAGGAGACTGGGTTGTGAGGGAGAGAGGAAGATAGTCTTCTCTTAACATCTTGTGAGCCTCTGAACCATCAGGGCAGGCAGGGCACTAACGTCTGCCCCTTCTATGTCTACCTGCCTCCATGCAGAAAGTTGAGACTCTTCATTTACTGTGGCTGATGTAGAGGGTCGGTAGTATGACAGTTTCTTCACTGCTCATCCTCACACATTTTTTCTCTCAAACAATTCTTTGCAGGCACTCAAGATACCCTGCAAACCTATCCTCCCTTTCAAAATTAAATCATACTTTTCTGCAATCTCTGCAGCACTGTTAGCTATAGTGAAAATTTCACTCAAGTGCTTTACATTCTCTTCCTAGGTGACTTCACGTTTGGGCCCTTTGCTGTTTGGTTTGGTTTTGATTCATATCCTTTCCTCTTGGAATTGCATCAGCCCTTCATCTGTCAGTTTTGTTTATGGAATGCCAAAATCTCTTCAACATCATCTTTGTCAGCTTCCAGTTGGTGCTGAGATGCTGAGGATAGTTCCAGAGGAGGAGTTTGAAGGCACCGCTCTCATTGCTTGGGGTATGTGCTGTCTTCAGAATAGCTGGCAAAGAGCAAACACTGCGCGCTATTTTTGTTTCTCAACTTTTGTCGTAAAAGAGAGATCCTCTTCGGGATAACAAAAACAGGTACTAATGTAGGTCTTTCGTAAAAGCAAAGTGGCGTAACATGAATCCATAACTAGAATCCATTCTTTTCAAAACAGGGAGATATCTAAAATGGGGGAAAAAAATCAGTATGTGATTAAAACCACCAGGCTGGTCTGGTGTTCACTACCCGTCCCGCCCCACTAGCTCCAGTCACAGTAACAGTGGCAGTCTCTTCTCTATTTCTGCTCTAGAATCCATTCTTTCGTTATGCTTTTGAGTCTTCCATGGATCTTCTCCTTCAAGCTGGGCGGCACTATGTTTCACCATGGTCTTAGCTGGTCCCCAAGGGCCAACCTTTTCATTGCACAAACGATGAGACAATAACCACCAGTGAGAGCTGCCAACTCTTCATCCTCCACAAATCTGGCCATCCCTTGTTTCCTTTTGTACAAGAAACTACATGTAAGCTGTAGTTGTCTTCTAGTAAAAACCCACAGGATCAAATGTCTATTACCAAAAGCTTTCCATCATTGCTGAACATTACCCTACTAGCAAGAGGATAACTCACAGACTGGGAGCCTCTGCTCCACCATCCCATTACTCAGTTTTTCTCTGAATAATGCCTCTGCGTCACTAGTTAAGTGTCCTGCCAGATATAGCTCGGGCACTTAAAATTGCCTACTTGTACCGTCTGTGGTTTTTTTCCTGCTTAGTTTTGTAATTCTCTCTCCACATGTAAGTGAAACCCAGTGTTACTATTGCATACTTATTAAGCATTCTGAGCTCTCGATATGGTCATCAGAAAACTCTGCAAGAAAAGAACCCAACTCTATGGAAAATTCCTCAGGACAAGGATGTCACTTTATACTTCCTTCAGTTTTCTCTGTGGCAAACAAAAATGTCAGTGCTTTGATCTGAGATCGCTACATATTCAATTAATATTTAATATCTAACCTTTATCACGTATTTCAAAAGGCTTGACGTTTTCCTATACATTATTCTATTTAGTCTTCACAACCACCTTGTGAATAGGGGCAACAGTAAAAGTGGGTAGCAATCCAGAAATTAGCACTCTCGCCTGCATCAGTGTGCACTGCGTTTTCATACACTACAGCTGCCTTAAAATAGCTCTTGCCTTAAAGGAAAGGAATCTCAGGATTAGCATATTTGTCTAATCAAGAAGAAATCCATGATATGGACAGATGAGAACCTAGCTTCATGGGGCAGGGTCTAGAGGACCAGCCCATGCAGGCGCCAGTCTAGCAGGTCCTCAGGGCACTGGCTGTGCTAGAGGACTGGCCGTAAAATAGTTTCTGACGCATCTGGAAGGGGAAACTGGGTTGATTTCACTACTTCCTCCAGGGATAGGGGAGAGAGGGGTAAGGACTGAATAGTGGGACTTCTTGACCACTGGCTTCAGCATCAGCTCTTTCCATTAAATGTATAATATGGAGTCGAATCTTCCCAACAAAAGGAGATCACCTACTACTCCCACACCCCTGTCCTTGACCGTGATGCAGCAGAACCCCAGGAACCATGACTTGAATAAGCAATGAATGAAGCCACCTACATTATCCTACCAGGCTTAGCACAAACTGACAGGACCAGAGATAGCTGAGGTAAGTAGGCCGCTCCTCCCCCACTATGATATGAGCTCTGTGAGAGCCGGGGCCTTGAATGTCTGCTTCACTGCAGTGCCCTAAACTGTGCTTGGCATACAGGAGGCACCCAATGGTTACTGCTGAACAAATGATTGTATGGATGAACAAAAGAATTAAGAGGCATGGTGCATGTTGCCTGCACAAAACCCCATCTGCGAGGAATACCCACACACAGGGTTTCTCTTTTAAAAGGCTTTCCTTTACACCTCTCCAGTTCCACTCTTTTTGAACCCATACTGTTTCCTGAAAAAACATCTCTGAATGATCTGTAAGTATTACCCTTACGCTGGCACCTTCTTTTCCAAAGACAAGAAAAACTCGTTCATCAAGTCTCTTAGTTTTAGTGCTCTGAAGCTCCAGTACCAAGGCTGTCTCACCAGCAGCTAAGCTTATTCAGTTTAACACCACTGCCCTAAGCTGAAGAGGCAGCAGCTGAGCAGCAGTCTGGTCTCACTCCCAACTTCAAGCTGCCTGAGGTAGACCCTACCATGAGGCCAGGCCCAGGTCCACATGAGTGGTAATGACCTGTGGGCTCTGCCAAATCTCTTCTATGATCCTTGGTGGTTCTCTATCCTGGGAAGTCTGTAGTTTGGGTGGCCATGTCTCACTAGGTATTTGACCACAGGGTTGTTTCTCACCATGGCTAAGCCTCTTAAAGTATAAAATTGGATTAACAACAGTATCTTCCTCATAGCAGTATTATGAGAATTAAACAAGGGGATAATGATACAATGCCTGGCAAATTAGTAAGTGCTCATTAAACGATAGCCTTTATTACTCCTGTTTGGTGTGGTTTGTTCCTGCTCTTTCGTTATTAAAAAAAAAAACAATCCACAATCATAGAAAGAAAAAGGTCACCGATCACTATTCACTCATTTAATAAAAGCTATGAAGATCCTAGATGGGGGAAAGTTTGCAGAACAATGAGTAGTCTTTTAAGTTCTCTGGGCCTTCACTTATATTGATTCCTGAAATAAATCACACACACTGGCTCACCTTTAGCTTCCCAAACTCAGCCAGATGTAGCTCTTTCCAGGATGCTTTCTCTGACTGGACACATCTTGGGCTCCATTCCTTGGGAGACACATTCTGGGATTAGTTTGCAGGAAATAAAAACAGCAGTGGTTTTAGGATTGAGGCCTGTGGAAGGAATAAGAAAGCACAGTGGGTGGAGGGAGAAGTAGAGAGTAGCAGAGCTGCCCCAACAAACATCTCAGCAACCTCACATACCTTTCCCAAACTGCGGATCCGACCTGTAGAGGCAGGAAGGGGCACAGTGCAGGTTTTCTGATCCAGCAGACCGGGTAAAGGAGGAGTCAGAGTCCTCAGTGGCTTCTGCGGCTCTTTTATTTAGATTTACCAGGCACATGGCAGGCAGGGGTGTTGCAGGGCCGGGAGGCTGGGAGTCCTCCCAGCCCCAGCAAATCCTCACTCTATCTGAGCTCTCTGGCATTCTCTCTGGTTCTCTTCTTCTCTCCGCTTCTGTTCATTCTTGGCTTCTGCTGGCGTCCCCGCGACGCCACCCTTATAAACTCAGTCTCTCAGCCCAGGTGTACCCACTTCAGGTGCCCGCCATCAGGCAGGCATCCAGGACCACAGGGTTCCCTCATCTATCCTAATGGCGGGAGGGCAGAAAAGCCTGATACTTTTTCCTTACCCTACAGGCCTTTCTACCCCACGTTGGCTAGGTCCCTAGATGCAGGCTGCCACTGAAGTTGTGACTGGGGAGACCGTTGTCACCAGTCAGGACAATTCGCAGAAAGGGCGTCCCCTGGGGGGGATCCTTCTGGAAACACTCCCTGTCGCTGGGAGGATGAGTCCCTCCCTCTTGAAAATGTTTTGGGTGGTAACAGAGCTTCGGCCACATAACTTCAGCCTCATCTCCGCACACCACGAAGAGGAAGCCTTTCAGGCTTAACGACACAGGTAAAAACTGTTCATTGCGGGCTACAAGTGACCACTAGCCCTAAACAGCACTAGCACTGACTGCCGGGCCTGCCTCGGTGGGGTGGGCTTATATACACAAGGAGCAGGACTAGGTTACACTCTGGTCCGCTTTATGCAAATCAGTCTTTTTGTTAGTGCAGTTCTGATTGGTGGAAAGTTTGTCAAGCGGTGATTGGTTTAGCTTCTCCTCGTTGGGGGACAAGTCTGGGCATGTAGGGACATGCTGATGCCCGCCCAGGATGTGCCTGGGCCACGACCTTCAATCGCCTTCCTATTCTGTTTAGTTTTTAACCAGATTAGGGGTGGGGGCCTCCCCTCCCCGGTGGCGCAGCGGTTGAGCGCTGGGTTGCGAAGCTGCCCGCGGCCTCTGCAGCGCGGGTTCGATCCCCGGCTGCTCCCCGGCCACCAGAGGAGGGTCCCACATGGCGTGCAGACCTCTCCTGCCGCCCGCTGCTCCCCTCAGCAGTGTACTTCGTTCCTTCTGCCTGCTCTGCTCCCCACTCTGGCTCTGGTGAATTCTCTCACCCTCCCGCGCTTCTCACTGTACCCAGTGCTTGTATAAACAAAAACAAATAAACAAATAAAACATGCCTCTATTAAAAATAAATAAATAAATAAACAAAATAACCAGATTAGGGGTGGTTCCATTGTTTTTGTTTTTTAGTAGTTCCTATCATACGCTACAGATTGGGAGGTGATCTTCTTTTAGTCCACAGCTCCCAGTCATTTATTCAGTGCTAATGATTCTGGCCATCACCGCTAGAAGTCAACAAACATGGGGGGTTCCCAATAAATTGAAACAAAAGATACACGAGTGATCATGGAATAATAGTGAAGAGTGTGCAGGAATTGAGTTTATCTTGAAATTGGCATGTGCTTCTGTTTACAATAGCTAAGCTTTGGAAACCACCCAAATGCCCAAAAATAGATGACTGGATCAAGAAGATGTGGTACATATATACCATGGAATATTACTTAGCATTCAAAAAAGATAAACACATGCAATTTGCAGCAACATGGATGGCGCTGGAAGGGATCATGCTCAGCGAAATAAGCCAGAAAGAAAAAGAAAAATACCGGATGGTCTCACTCATAGCAGGAATCTAGAAAACTTAAATAAGGGGCCAGGAAAATGAATAACTATAAGAAAGTGAAAATCAAAATCAACAAAAACTATGAACCAGAGACACTTTTAGGGGGGCGGGGGCGGGAGGGGAGGGATTGGGGTCAGAATGGGGGGGGCTGCAATTGTATGGGGAATATAAAAATAAAATTTATTATTAAAAAAAAAATTGGCATGTGCTTGTTACAGGGCAACCCGGATATTAAACGGACTGTGGGTCCTCACCTGTGCGCTTAAAAAGGACTTATTAATACCCAACTGCACACACACACAAAAGGGTGATAAAAGGTTTATTTACAAAAGAAAGGGAAAATGAAGAAATGAATAACTAGGGGAGAAAAAGAGGGAGATAAACTCATGAATGCCTCCTACTTGTTCTGCTGACCTGGAATCCCAATGGCACCCTGAGAGCTGGCGAAGAGCCGAGGCCCATGTGTCTGGTTTTATACCAAATCTGGCTGCTTAACCACCTCCTCTGGTCCCAGCGACCTTCCCTTTGGTGATGATGGGATTTGTCATTTCCAGTGTCTTCGTGGCTTTGGTCTGGAGTGGGGGTGGAGTCCACAAAGCCTCTATGGAGTTTGCTCAGGACATCCTTTCCCCCTAACACGCTTACTTTATTTTTTTTTTTGACATATTAACCATATTTATTCTTGATTTGTAAACATACATATTTTCTCATATACTTATGTCATAGTTTTTAATGTGTACATCTTGAATATCTTCTGTCAGATTTAACATTGTATATTTCATTTTTTATGCTACACAATATTATTTTTTTCACATTTTATTTTTTCTATTCCCCATACAATTGCAACCCCCTTATTTTGACCCCAAGCCCTCCTTTCCCCGCCTCCCACCCCCATAGAGTGTCTCTGATTCATAGTTGTTTGTTGATTTTGATATTTTCTTTCTTACAGTTATTCTTTTTCCTGGTCCCTTATTTTGGTTTTCTAGATTCCTGCTATGAGTGAGACCATCCAGTATTTTTCTTTTTCTTTCTGGCTTATTTCGCTGAGCATGATCCCTTCCAGCTCCATCCATGTTGCTGCAAATTGCATAACACGCTTACTTTAAGACATATTCTGGTGCTCTTACTACTTATTTGAAGAACAAAGAGGACAGGCAGATTGCAGTCTCACCTGAAAGAACAGGGAGTTATTTCCTTGGATTGTAAAGCAGATCTGCTGTTGTGATCAATTTGGCACAGTCTATCTTAACAAAATGAAGCTGGTGGTTGTGCTGTCTGCTGGCATGCTCCAACAAGGCCAAACTCAAGACATATTGAGCATAAATGCCTATTTGAATAAGTTCTGGGATCACACGATGAATTTGCAAACAGGTCTTCAATTAAAGAGTTTTGCTCCTCGCAAAACTACAGATGCCTTTCTACCCTAAAAAGAAAATAACAAAAAAATCCAACTTCAAACTGAGAATTGAACTTTTTATTTCAGGCTTAGCATAGTTGATCAAGAGTTTCTGGGTGCCCAGGATATTTTTCAGATATCTCATTATTACCCACTGTAGGGTAAGTAAAGTATCAGGCTTTTCTGCCCTCCTGCCTTTAGGATTGATGATGAATCCCTGAGGCCCTGAATGCATGCCTGATGGCGGTACCTGGAGTAGGGTGTGGGCATACATAGGTGGGATACACCTGGGCTAAGACTGTGCTTATAAGGGCAGCATCATGGGGAGGCCAGCTGAGCGAAAGAGGATGGGCAGAGCAGCAGAGGCCACAAGAAAACCCTGGAGCGTCCAGAAAGAATGAATATGCGCCTGGGGCTGGGAGACCAGCCAGCCTCCCAGCCCTCCCCAGCACCCCTGCCTGCTGTGTACCTGGTAAAATCCCAATAAAACCCTGAAAAAGCCACCGAGTGCTCTAGAACTCCTCCTTCACCCATCTGCCCCATCATAGAGATCCTGCTCTGGCCCTTCCTGCCGCTACACCCACTTTAAAATTTTAATGAATTTTAAAAAGTTATAAACTCAGTTTTTACTTGGATACTGTGTGGTACAGGTGAAACAATTATGAAACTATTATATTTGTATTTATAATTGAGAAGTGAACAAATTGATGTTAAAATTCAGGGTTTTCACAGTGGGAGAAGGGAGATACAAATACAGAGAGAAATATTTAAAGAATAAATTTGAAATAAATAGAAATATTTGAAGAATCCCATGGGAATGGAAGTGGAGACATTCAATTGTAAAATCAATTTCTAAAGCATGTGTATATTATGGACATACATGTTTCATATGCACACATGAAACATACATAAATATGTATGTATGAATGTGGATATTTATATACACATGTATATACTGAAAGGGTCAAGAAGCAAGACACCCTCAAAGCAGTAAGGTTATATGTCACCCAGATCTTTGGTTTCTGACATAATTCCCCACTAGATGAAACAGGCTCCTCAGAGAAAAAACTGATTTCAAAATTGAAATGAGGTAGTGACAAAATGTGCCTCGAACGTATTATTGGGCCATAAAATAGAAAATCCTGAAGAAAGAGGCTGGGTGATATTGGTGTAGGTACGAGTTTAGAAATTCCATGGCTACATCAATTAAGTATAGTAATGAATTATGAAGTTTTTGGGGGAAACAGGAATTAACATGTCTTTACCAATAATGAATAGAAAAAGTAATAAATGGAGAAGGGAGAGTGATTGCATATAGTAAAATGCCAAGATCAGCTGACAAATGTGGAGAAGGGCTGTGGTTAGAAAAATATTCTTTTTATAATCATCATAACAAAGATAGGATTAGACAAGAACCATCACTGGAGCAAAATCTAGGTGGAAATTTCAACTAAAAGCAGAATATTTGAACCACCATAAGTGTTTCCCACACACATTATTTACTATTTGCAAGGAAGAAAAAAAAATAGAGTGGAGAAATTGAGCAACACTTTTACCAGGTGATCAAAATTAACATCACCAAGGTAGACAAATGGATGTCATAAGCTTCCAGGTGTGACACTGTGGGAAGGACACAGTATCACCTATGAAATGTTCCAGCCAAGATGTATCAACTGAATCATGAGGAAATACCAGATAAAATTAAAATGAAGACTGTCATATTAACACACAGGGCATAAGAGTTGAGTTCTTCAACATGTCAATGTTATAAAAGAAATTGTGGACAAAAAAAAAAACCACCTAAAAACCAAAGATAAACAATAGCCAGGGTTAAGAGGACTGTGCAGAAATCGGAACCCTCATTCATGGCTAGTAGAATGTAAAATGGAGAAACTTCTTTGGAAAATAAGCTGGCAGTTTCTCAGATTTTAATGGGGCTGTGCAAATCCATATATATATATATATATATATATATATATATATATCTCCAAGAGAATGATAACATGTCCATATAAGAAATGTGTACGTGAATATTTATTAGCAGCATTCATAATAGTCCAATAGTAAATAATAGGCAAATGTTTATGAACTGATGGATAGACAAATAAAATGTGGTATAGCTACACAATGGGTTATTACTTGACAATGAAGAAGAAGGAAGCAGTGATCCATATCTCACTAATTCAAAGAAGCCAGTCACATATGATTCCATTTATATTAAATGTCCAGAACAGGCACATCCGTAGAAACAGAAAATAGATTGGTGGTTGCCTAGGACTAGAAGAGAAGGGAGCAGGGGGTGATTGCTAATGGGTGAGGGTCTATTTGGGGGCAACAAAAATGTCTATAAACTTGAGTTGTGATGATTTCAAAATTCTGTCAATAAACAAAAGCAATTGAATTGTACGCTTTCAATGGGCAAAGGCTATAGTATGTGAATTATATCTCAAATAAGATGTTTTGAAAGTTCATTTTTTAATTTAAAAAACCTGGATAAAATTAACAGCAGTGTGGTATGATTTATCTCTATGAAGAGTAAT